GACCCCTGTTGCACAAAAAAAACTGTCCAGAAAGCTCTTGTAGCTCCACCCTCTACCACAATCACAATCACTACCACCCTCTATCACCATCACTTCCACCATCACAACCACTATCACCATCTACCACCACCACTACCACCATCTCAACCTCTACCACCATCATAACCACTACCACCATCACAACCACTACCACCCTCTACCACCATCACTACCACCCTCTACCACCATCACTACCAACCTCTACCACCAACACAACCACTACAACCCTCTACCTCCATCACTACCACTATCACTACCACCATCACTACCACCCTCTACCACCATCACAACCACTACCACCCTCTACCACCACCACTTTCATATTTTTCGTCAAACTTTAATTCTATCGTGTTTCTCACCTTCTTTACCAAAGGGCTGGCAGTAGAAGCTTTCTTTGAGCCCATGGTGGCTCATTTAGCAGTTGCAAGCACAAAAAAGAATGGATTATTATGAAATGTATCACATGAACGCGTGGGGCGATGGTCACTTGCCCAGAAAGAATGCCTGAATGGTGTGTGGGAGCCTTTGTGTACGTGCGGCCACTGAGAGGCCACTCAGACGCGTTCTGTACCACCAACGAATCATGAGGCAAATCACGAAACGCCAGGCTATACTTTGATGAAAAAAGTTCCTGAAAGTCGAAATTCATGAGGCGAGAGGCTCACAAAACTCAGGGGTCCACTGTACACTGAATTACTTGTACTGTACAGTACAGTCATACCTTGGTATCCATGGGGGATTGGTTCCAGGATACCCCCCCCCAAGATATTAAAATCCGCAGATGCTAAAGTCCCTTATATAAAATGGCATGGTATTTGCATATAACCTACACACATTCTCCCATATACTTTAAATCATCTTTGGATTACTTATAATACCTAATACAATGTAAATGCTATGTAAATAGTTGTTATACTGTATTGTTTAGAGAATAATGATGACACTCACCAAAACTCTGGTTCTTTTCTCCTGATAACCCTTGTATAATGATGATGATGATTGCTTTACAGTGCCTATAATGCCAATGTGGTGAGGCAATGAGATATGTGGCACTGTAGGTAAGCGGTGAGACTTCAGGCTAACTTGAACCTTCTGACAGGACATCAGAAGGATCATTTATGCCGGAAGATCCAAGTTCCGATTGCAGATGCTGACACTTTGAAGGAGGCTCAATAACACTAATGTATGGATCTGTGGAGGTTGAGGGCTGACGATCTTCAGGTGTTGAAGGTCAAGACTTCACACTTGCAAATGATTTAGTTAGTAACATTATTATAGGAAGCTGTTTCTTCTTTTTCTTTGCATCATCAGTGGTTGTAGACATGGTGTTATCCCTCAGGTGACATGGAGGCTTCACTCCACTGAAGGATCATCCTCAAGGACATTATCCTTTAACACCTGTGCCTGTTGAAAAACTGCTGCAAATCTTTCAAGTGTTCAAACTGATGGCTCCTCTAAATCTTTTGTATCGTCATCATCATCTTCTGTAGAGGATTTCTTGAAGTTCTCGAGGCTGTAGCACTTTACATAGTTAGCCAGCCATCCTTTACTAGTGTTAAACTCCTTCCTCTCACTCTCTTCAACTCCCTTACAGTAGTGCTAACAGAGGCTAAATGCTTTTTCATGCATAATTTTGTCATCAACAGGGATATGCTTCTGTGATATGTCCTCTAACCACAAACCTAATGCTAGCTTAGTCTCTGCAAGCACTTTATCACAAACCAGAGAGAACATTTTTGCTATTGTAGAGGCAATATTAACATTTCCACAAATTTCAGCTTCTTTCTGATTTATTGTGTGAATGCTTGATTCGTTCTTACCAACCTTACAGCCACTTTGGCAAGTGACATACATGCCACTTTTCAAGTGATCTAAGATTTTTATTTTCTCATCGAGAGAGAGCGCTTTACACTCCCTCTTCGCCTTTGAGAGATTGCTTTGACCACCTAATTGCTTTTAAGGAGCCATTTTTTCATAGAAACAAAGGGTGCACAGAACGCAAGTAGCAACCAAACACGAGGCAAATAATGCTCAAACAATGAGCACTGTTCACCTACACACAACTTCATTCATGTGGATTCAGCATAGTGCTTGATGGACGGCAAATTCAAATTTTGCTTTTTGGAACTTTCTGGAATTTTTTTTTGAGTATTTCCAATCCATGGTTGTTTGAATCTGTGGATGCAGAACCCATGGGTATGGAGGGCCAACTGTATTTCAAATATTTACAAGTGAATACTGCATAAATATGCATGTAGTATATTATCAACATGCATACAAATGTTTATACATACATAAATGAATGCAATCATATTTTATAAAAAGGCCAAATATCTTTACAAGAATTCAGGTGGCTTGAACTTGGTAACTAGAAAATATTCAGTAAAGTACAATGTCCAGTCCTTAGGAGTCAAATGTGTGTAACTGATCAGTGCTTGTGGTAGTGAGTGAGTGTTGGTTGTGGTTTGGTGGTGGTGGTAAAACAAAGCACAAG